CATGAGCTACTTCGAGTTTGGATGGATCAAACGAGTGCCGAAGTGAGTTCGTTGGAGACCCACTGTAGTGCCTTTAGCACTATCGTCCAACTCCCTCTAGACTGCCTCCTCGAGGTTCTGTTGTCTTAAAGGAGTTTCATTTGGCATTGCAGAGAATAGTTACTTCTCCGGTCCAGGAATTGAGTCCGTTGACCGCATGATCACGGCGTTCAAAGGGAATGCACGCCTCTCACTAACATGCGTTGCACATTTTATCCTCCATTTACCATGCATGTGGCACTTGTGAGAGAGACGAAGCAGGAGAGAGGCCTGGAGCGTGTTTCCTGTCAAACATTCCCAGGTATTGCATTGGCACCACCTCAGTAAATCGGGAGTGAGAGTTAACCCCGCAAGCAGAATAAGCAGAAGTCGACAGACGAATGTCCACCGAGTGCTCATTTACACATCGCCAATGAAAATGCAGGCGACTCTGATTGGACCTTTGCCATGAGGGGATTATGCTGTGATGTCTGGCTGACTGGCGTGGGGCTCCCTCTTGACTGGCTCCTCCTCATGCGCCTGTTTACCCATAGGAGTTTCACTTGACAGCAGGATAGAGATTACACAGACTAATGCAGGAAGAAGGCGCCCGCTCCGGTGCAGGAGTCGAGTCCGTTGACCGCCTTTCCCATATAAGCCACATTTTAAACAACTACTATGTATTGCTTGCACAGAGAGCCACGACACAAGTGGCTCAGATGGCTGAGGCAAAGAGTTGCATCAAAGCCGTTGGGAATGCTCCTCCCATGGTCTCCATAAACCTGGTTTTTACAATGAGTCATGACGGTGTGCGTAGATTATCACAATTTCCCAATATAAATCAACATCCTTATCCCACTCACCATGATTTTTTTTTTAAATCTTGCATCCATTTTAATCATTTTGTGAAAAACTTAAATTAGTTAGTGTAATTATTTAATTTTACGCACCAATTTAATAAAAATTTGTAATGTGTGGCAGCTTTGAGGAGTTTTAGTTCTTTGTACTAACTTCATTTTCTTAGTTTCACATGAAATTTTCGAGGCCATTTGGTCACCATTCTGCGCGACCATCAGAGACTCGTGTTGGCTCGTTAAACAAATGCAGTTCTTTTATAGACTACGTCACCTTATCCCCTCCACATGTCAAGCCTTCTCCCGCCGTGATGGAAGGCTCGACACTCTGCCAAGTGGGAATCATTATTATTATTATCATTATTTAGTAAAAGTGAGTGTATGCTTTAGTGGGCCGAAAATGTCCGCCGTTTAGGCGGTTGATCTCGCACTTACTTCAGGATAGCTCACGGCATGACCAAACACTTGTAACTCGAGGGAAGAGGCCATCACCTACTTCAAAGAGCATCCAACATGACAGAATCAACATGGCCTCCAACGGAACTGACATTCATGCACGCAGGCAAAATAACAAAGCACTGCTTTGACCCTCTCTTCCTTCAGTGACGTAGGTCGGCGCTTCCTACGGTACACCTCTCACGCCACCCACCACAACGCATTCGGTGATGAGAGCAAAGATTCACCACTCATCACCTTCCATGAGACTGACAGCGTGCGTTTGACCCTCTCATCAGCCTCGACAAGATCTGCAATCACGTTTGATTCAAAAGCAGGAATTCAGAGTTGGGCACTTCTGTGGACCGTTAATTGCGTCTAGCGTCCGACACTGGAATACGGGATTGAAACGGAATGCTGATCTCTTATCCCCACAGCATATGTTTTAAAACCTATTGGTGCAGTCGACGTAACTGCTTCATTGGCTACTGAGTACCTGACCGAAGAGATGTAGTTAACATTGAAAAATAACTGGAAGATAGAGCTAAATGTTGGTTGTAGTCTCTCCATCGCCATCATCCATCCCTCGCCTGAGTGCTTCCTCAGTAAATTTCCTCCTTATATGAGCTTTATAAGGCAGTTGACTACACAACACAAAGGGTCATAGGAAGGGCGAGGAAGGTTTAACTAACAAAAGCAGAAGAAGTTGTAGCATCTGGTGCCCAATCTCGGCAAACAATGCCTTCGATTCTCGACGTGTTTAAAGACTGTAGCTGAGAGTGTCACGACAACTTCTTGTGCATCCAAGTAAAGGGCAACTTCAATGCAAAGATCTGTTTGCAGCTCTTCTCAACAGTTCCCTCGACAGGCCGTTTGCTTAGGTGAGGCGGAATGGACACTTTGTAAAAATTACTGATGGTAATGCAAGGGCAAAATGGGAGAGAGGATGCGATGTCTGTGATGGTATGGCGGCGGCATCCGGTGGGGTTGAATGCCCGTCTCTCACCTTCAAGGCATATTGTAACAACTTAGCATGCATCACACCATCACTAGGGTGTCAGATCCTTGATGAAGCAGTTATGCGCAAATTAAGTTGCCTTACAAAGTCACCTTCAACACAATAGGAACTATTCCAGCGCTACTGTGATCAATTGTTAACATTTAAGGCAGTTGTACTTTCGCCGTTCATTCTCACAAGATTGTGAGGGAATTTTTCGAATGCTTGAGAAATTGTAATTTACGTAACTTAACATCAGAGGAGAAGTCAATTAAAACTGGAAGGGTCGCTGTTTAAACTTTCGATAAAATTCCGTGGAAGTCACTAAAAGTGAGGCATGTGTAAGTGGAAGACCAACGTTTTGAGAGCTCCAATGTTTTAAGAGGTTGTGAATGCACAGCCACAGTAGATATTGTGGTTTTGGAATTGGGAGGCTGTCGAGAGCATTGTTTGACTCCATCTTTTGCTTTTTCAAAAAGTCGGATTGCTACCTGGCAGGGAAAGCGCTTATAAGCAAAGGCTACCGACTAGTGCCCATGTGTCGCACTAATGGATGGTTCATTTGTAGGGAGGCAAACAGCCTTCAGACAGTTAGGAGAATTTCTATGGCCAACTTGGGCGTCTGCAATTACCCATAAATGCTGACTGTGGATACGGCTTAATGAGGGTATTACAATGCCTTTTATGGGCTCATCTACACCTAAATTCGTGGGTAGAATGGCGACGTTAGATCCGAATGTGCAATGAATTTTCCATAGTAATAGTAGTTCCTTTTTATCAATGCAAAATAATTTAGTTGGTCAGAAGTTAATTTACATGGATAGCTTCCCGAAGCATATTCACTCGCTGCTTTTTTGGATTTTTAAGAGACGCAAGTTGTTTTAATGCACTCTGACGACCCATTGCTAAGGCAATGGCACAGACCTATTCAGGAGCCAATTAAACCACCTCTCTTCCAGTGGCTATAAGAATTTTCAGTAAAGCTGTGGACCAGTCAAACACATTTGTGGGCCTTTTGTAAGTCAAAACCAGGTGAACGCAGAATGTTTTGTAAACTCTGCTTTCCATTCTTCAATGCCATTTGGCTGATGAGTGCGACTGTCGAATGTAAGAAACTGTTTCTAGTTCCTCGGCTGAGGCGGGTATCCAACTCCACCGGATGCCACCGCCATACCATCACAGACATCGCATCCTCTCTCCCATTTTGCCCTTGCATTACCATCAGTAATTTTTACAAAGTGTCCATTCTGCCTCACTTAAGCAAACGACATGTCGAGGGAACGGTTGAGAAGAGCTACAAACAAATCTTTGCATTGAAGTTGCCTTGTACTTGGATGCACTAGAAGTTGCCGTGACACTCTCAGCTACAGTCTTTAAACACGTCGAGAATCGAAGGCATTGTTTGCCGAGATCGGGACACCAGACACTGCAACCACTTTTGCTTTTACCAGTTAAATTCATTATAGCACCATCTTTTGTGCACCTGTACCGTGTGAGATACACAGCACGTATATGCACAGATTGAAAGTTGCCCTTCATTTTTTTCCCTACTTCACCATTCTTACGCAATAGAATGAGTCAGACGACACCTCCAAAAGCATTACACGATGCATCTTGCCCATGCAAGTAAAATTCACTTTCGCTTTAAGATGCTTCGCTTAACGTTGAGACCCCCTCCTTGTTCCAAAACGCAAAAAGACTGCGGTAAAACGTCGGCTTCCTTGCATAGTAAAACAGCCTAAAACATGTAAAAGCATCGTGTAGGCAGAATTAGGATTGCAGCCGCTATTTACCATACTAAAATGTATGTGTCAAGATAATGTTTGATATATCTGCAGAGGCACTTGAGGCACTACAATAAAGGATCGATTTAAACCTGACAGCACCAGTAAAAGTGAAAGCTTCGTTTATGCTCATTGTCAGACAATCCTTCGCCCAAATCACCAGAAACTGATGCTTTTCAGCTAATGGCGCTGCTATTCTCCTTTTGTGGATTCCAACTGAACTTGGGCGAACAAGATGCCTTTGAGCCAATACATCATGCACCTCTTATTCCTACCCTTGGGCAACTCTCTCGCTTGATTCAAAAAAAGCGCATGACTTTTGACAAAATTTATTTGGAGACCTCATTTTAAGTAAAAGCGGTCCCCAATAAGCACTTTTACAAAGAATGGCGTATAATTGAACGTCATATACACTCAGGGCTACGAATGCTACCCGAGCTCCTATCATGTCGACAAACAGTGCATCCATGGAGAAATGTTGGAAAAGTTTTCATGCAAAAAGATCTGACATGGAGTCGAAATTGGTGTAAGAAAAGTGGGATGATGCGCACGGAACACTCACACGGGACCTAAAATGGTTAGAATGAAAGTTTAATAACGTTAAGAAACCAACTACTGATATCCGATTCAGTAGACATGAGCACTTCAGCCATCACCAGCGCTAGAACCTACTTGTAAAGACTGAACGAACAGATGTAAGCGAGAAAGGAGTGATCAAGCAAGGGTTCTAGTGTCGATCAGACACCCTTCCTTCTGACACAGTGCAGATTACTCCAACTCTTGTGAATTCTGCAGTGATAATATACAACCATGCCGACTACTATGCAATGTCTAATCAGTCAACCGATCACGGAAGTAATGCAAAATGCATGAGCTGTACATAAAGCAATTATAAGATGGTTCTAAGGGAAATCACAGCCTACCGTAGTTCCTACAACACTGCGGAGAATCCAACAATCGACTTGATTCAGGCAGTTCCTCAACATCGATGTCATTTCTGCACAAAATGAAAAAAACAGCTAGAATGCGTAATGTACAAGAACCATTTTCTCATATAAAAGTTGTCACGTATTGATGAAAGATCAGAAAGCCTTCAATACACGCTTCAAAGGTTTGGTGAAGTATACTTTGCGCAATTACATTGACATTTGGGGAGCCAAGGCTTTTAATTGAATCCCCCAAATAAGCTCCTACGAAACCTACAAACTGTTACTAGAGGCCGAAGTCATCTTTCTGTGACATCCACTTATTGAGGCCACCTCCTGGATGGGTCATCGAAACGACAAGACTCCTTTCGATGAAACCAATCTGCTGTCCCCGATTCACAGCATACGTGATGCATGCACCTTAGACTATTCTTCCTGAATCCATTTAGATTAATCACAAAGCACTACAAAGTACGATTCGGACAACCTGTAAATTTTGCACGCGATATACCAACTTAACGCCGACCATCGGATCCTTTCCAGACAGATTGACTTTGTTCAAAATTTATCTTCTACATTAACCATCAAACCTCCTCCTCAGAACATTATAAGTTTAGCCAGTCGCGACAGTTGAAGTTTTCATATTGGTATTCAGTGAAATCAGTGTCGATGAGGTTTATCATGATTCCCACAAAGCCAACCATACACAAGAGCAACACCTGATATTCAAGATTCACAGGTCCATAAATAAGATTATTTTGGTACTAGGTAAGTGCCAAAGCCAAAATTTCTTGCTAAGTGGCGTCAAAGTCGGACGGATAGCCTCAAACACAACGGCCGCTAATGAGGCTCTGTAAGCATATCGAAATGAAAATCGACTTTATAATTTTCAAAGTGCTGTTTACAAACGAAGCGACACACCTGACAAGGTGCCTAGCGTAGTGATAGGCGGTGGAAGGACGAAGATTAGAGGAAGAGGATCGGGCAACAGAGGCGGTCCCAGTGATATTGGTATGTCTACAGCGACGATGTCTGAGGAAGCAAAGCACACAGGTGGAAAGGAAGAGGAGGCCCACAAAAACGAAGGTGGCGATGGCAAGGGCAAGAAAGTAAGCATAGGAAATGCGACAGCTGTACCAGTAGAGAGCGGAGAGGTTGGGAGGACAGGAGGACCATGAGACCATGCCTAGTCGAGCCACCGGGAAGACCAGACACTTACCCGTCGAGTGGCAGTACATACACTGTACATACGAGCAAAAGTCAACATTAATCAGGTATATTTCCGTCAACGAAATAAAAAAAAACGTAGAAGTTTTGATTTGATGCATACTATTCATAGATGCAATTGTGTAGAGAGAGCACATCCACACATGTTCCAAGCTTCCTTCAAAGTGCAAATGAAAAACCAAACGCAAATGGCGACTAAGTTATACGCAAATTTTCTCATGATAGGGAGTGACAAGTGACGCTGGACAGATAAATCTGCCTACTAGAGAGAGTATGAATTGAAAGTGCTAGGACCTCAAAATTGATGAACTCCCGTGCATGCTAGGCAGAAATAATAAGTCCAATGGTACGACTGGTAGAGGATTTGCGTGTAATTACAAGATATATGTCAACCTAACGATCCGACAGTCAGAATAAGACAGCAGTGTGGGCATAGAAGTTCAAGTAGCTTCATAGTGAAGCACAGTTATGATCCACAAACGACATAACCCAGTAATTTTCTTAGCAACTGACATGGAACTGATAGGTGTGCTGTACCAGAGGAATCCAGATAAAAATGTGGCAACTAAATCTACATTTATTTTGGATGATTCGCATGTTATACTCAGAAATTATGAAAGAGTGACGGTATTAAGATAAACAGTATGGAGAAACAACCGACTCCAAATGACCAGGAGAATGAGCAGCTATGTTCACAAAAACCAGTTGTGACTAACAATTGCCCCGTCGATTGATTTGGCAATGGGAAGGGAAAGCACAAATAACTGCAAAAACAAACTTACGGAGGTATTAACCAGACAGTCAGCACAAGTAAAACTCCGCTCGCAAGGCAGGGCAACCAAACCTACATCGGCACCCATAGGTAAAATGGGGATATCATATTAACCGCTGAAACGAATCCACCAATACATTACAAATCAAGCATTGATTTTGAAATGCTCCAATCATCTCGCGACCATGGAGCCTAGCTTTAGGGTTATGAGGAGAGAATCGGCTAACAAATAACCCCATGGTCATCTTTATGCATTTTCGGTTGTAGTTCTTTATGTGAGAATCAATCCAAAAGGTGGATTTTATTTTTCATCCGATTCTTTATGACAAGGAAGCCGGATTGCAATTAAGAGCAATGCAAGTGAAATTTTTCTAGCGGCACTGGAAAGCCTGTATTCTGGTTTTGTTTTCATTTAACGTTGTAGCGCTCAGAGGCGTCTTACCAAGTAGAAGGCATTACGTTAGGCAGCATATATTTACTCTAAGAAAAGAAGGGTTGGGGCCTTGACTTTCCTTGAACGTCAGCTCATTTGTACAAGGACAAAACGAATGCCAAAGTAGTCGCCGAATATCAGGCGATTACTTGACAGGCTCCCCAAACGTCTGTCGTCTACGAGGTGTTTAATTTGGCATTGTAGAATGCCAATATATATTTGCAGCATAAAGAGACCAGAAAAGAATGTCTAATTTCGCTCCAGGTTCGAGGTGTCGTCTTCCTCTCCGTGAAATGAGCTTCCAACTCCCACCCACGTGGTACAACTCATGCACATTGCACTGCATCCTCTTTACTGTCATGAACAAAGTGGTGGAACGCTAAAGCGTTGATAGATTCAAGTTGGATGATCGCCATGGGAATCAGGAGAAATAACACATTCTTGGATTGTCATGACTGTCACACCTGTAATTAGTCAGCTAAAGAATTAAGGACTACAAGACCTTGTTTGACTGACGGAAACCTCCGTCGTCATTGCCTTTTTACATTACCTCCTCTAAGTTAGTTAACCTCCAGGCAGTACCATAACTAACCCTATTGGTTCCGCGCAATTATGTGTCTACAGCCCTTGTACTGTGTTTTTGCATTTGGTGAGTTTCGAGTTATAGTTTAGTGACAACTGTACTCAAATCCGAATTAAAACTACTGATTTTCTGTGCGACAGATGTAGCACTCCCAGACTTTCCACTACGTAGAGGAGGGCAAAAGAAGGGACTGGACCTTGGCTTGGTTCGAAAAACAGCCTCAATTCTTTTGCAAAATTAACCCTGGTTTATACTGACTACAAAAAACATCCCACATGCAAGTGAAGGACTTATACTTAAAACAAAGGAACCTTTGACTTCAGCATATGTAAAGGACCTACAATGGCATCTGTGTTCGGCATTTACCCCATTTCCATGTTTCGACTAATTAAAACCACCACTGCTCCCTTCCTCCTTGCATGTAACTTTCATCAGCAGGATTAAGTCAGAATTCCATCTCTGCTCTCTTCCTCTAGATGCGAGTATTTAGCCGATCATTTATCTTCTCTCTGTCAAAAGTTGTGATGAATCTGGCCTAAATTGTGATGATCGACGAGGGATTTAATGGCTGTGATCGTCTATATCGTGACCTAAAGAAAGATGGGTGTTGTCTCATACTTCACTTGACTGAAAACTTTTGATGCGCCTACACATATGGCCGCAATTGCTTTCCTGGTAGGAATGACGTTTGTGAGATGAGGAAATCTACAGTCCCCTCACCTTTTGCTAAAATGCATGCATCTTACTAAAGTTCAATCGCAAAACTTTGTTTATGTGAGCACTTGAAGTCTGACTGTTACCTTAGCATTTGTACGCGTGGGTTGGCTTTAGGGCCAAGCTCATGTTTAATCCTTTTTCTAGTCCCCGAATACATGTGTTAGGCTCAAACTAATACCTTCTTCAACCTAATGGGAAGCCACAAGATGCTATGTCAATGCCTGTAGCGTCTCGAGACTTTCCATAGGGTGGAAGAAGGCAGTAAGTAGGGTTGGATACATATATTTCAAAGAGAACAGAGCAAATGGCCGGAGCATGACCCAGACAAACTCCAAAGTGATCACCAAACTCCAGTTAGTCACACAAATGAAGCACCACAATGCTTTCCTTTGACTTTAAGAAAATTTTGAGACGCTGTACAAGACATCGCCAACCGTTATCGTTAGCATGTTTCCCACTACAAGTCTCCATAAATTTGATTCCCCTTTACGTTTGGAGCACAAAATGACCCCTGAATAATGCTCCACCTATTTATTAGCCCTGTGAGTTGTACCAATTATATGTTTATTTTAGATAACAATGCGGCGTTTTAGTTCGTGATGATTTATTTAATCATTTACCATCTACTTTGCAACAAAAAACAACAACAATTTGGACATTTAATTCCATTCCATTCACTAAGTCCATTTCTTAGTCGGGTATCATTTTAGGTAGATGTCCGCTGACAGCAGCTCAAAATGTCTTGTTTTAGTACTTGAGATACTAAAAATCTTCACAGTATGTGGGGGGTTCTTTGAGTTGTCTTTCTCTGTTGGAACTAAGGTACTAATCCTTTTTTCAGCATGGTTCTCAGCTTTTTGTTGGTTTTCTTGGCCTTTTATGTGGAGTTTAGTAGTCTGTGCGGTTGATTTACCAAACTCACCAACGTCTTGGTTGTATGTGATATCCATCATTTTCCTCGTCTTGAAATATGTGCATTCCGCCTGTATTATCGCGTTAGCCCCCACTTAAGTTGCACTGCGGTTATGCTTTGAGACGTATTCGCTCCCTTTTTTGCCTGAGTTAAAACTAAAACTACCTCACTACTTGTCAGATTAATTGGCACTTCTGGTTGGATTTGATCGTTGCATTTACAGTTGAGCGCTTCTGGGTTTTTAGTTTTAGTGCTTTTTAAAAAGCTGTCTAAGTTTACTGTGTATGAGTCAGTTTCAATATTCGTTCTGTTGTCGGCTATTTTATTGATATAGGCTTCACTACATTCCCAACGTCAAGTCTCATGCTTATTCAAAGTTTTTTGTCTTCTTTTTCAAACCATAGAACTTTCAACTACGTTACCTCTTTAAATGGTGCTGTCGGAACGTCAACGGGACGAATTGTACGTTGTTTGGTTTATTTTACTTCTGAATGATACAGACACCAGGCGATAGCAGACTACCTTCGTTCGAATGGTTATGAACAAGCTTTGAATGAGTTTAAGCGGGAAGCTAGCCTGGTATGCTTGTCACAATTACTTAGCATTCGTGTCTCTAGAATCCCAACATTGAAACTAAATTCGCAGGCCTGCTAGAAAAGAAATGGACTTCTGTTATCCGTCTTCAGATGAAGGTAAGCATCGGCATGCATATTGACTGCATCCCCCTTTGGGAAGCTGTGCTTAACCAATCGTTCTTGACACAATCCCGCATCATTATTAGTAAACACGATGTTCCCATTTGCTGACTGAGATTTTCAAATTCTTTCGTAAAAATAGTGCCTCAAGTTTCATAATCATCGCTAGACAGACGCTTATCAGGGGCAGCAATAAATAATCATTCCTTAACTGGTCTAATTTAGGACATCCTTCAAAACCTGGTAAATGCTTTCACCTGCACGGTTTTCTTGCTGAATACCCAAGATAATATTGCTGGGTTGCTCAGTTTTCTGTGTTCCAATTTATTCGCTCTAATTCGAGACATGTTTTTTTCAAGTTTCTTAGCAATGTTAAATACCTCGAATTTCTCTTGAAAATCGTCAATCTTATAACGAGAATCACGTGACGTAAGATGTAGTAACTAAGCTTCAGTTTTGACCTTTAACAGGTAGCTTTACGATTCATTCTTATTGAATGACGTTTCGTCGAAGAGCGTCAAGCAGACCTCTCATCACTTTTTGGAAAGCTAACGGAATTGTCACTTTCCTTCCCCGCAGGTAATGGATCTCGAGTCGAAGTTGGCAGAGGCTGAGCGTGAGAACAAACAGCTGCAGACCAGTGTAGGCTACGGGCCGGTGGGTGCAGCACCGGGTTCCGGTCTCCCCGGTCGCGGCGGTGATCGTCGTGGTGGGGTCGATGCTATCCCCCGGCCGCCCGCTAAATATACTCTTACTGGACATCGATCGACTGTCACTAGGGTCAAGCTCCATCCCCACTACAATGTTTTTGTCTCTGCCAGTGAGGATGCCACTATTAAGGTCAAGTTGAGGTCTATTATCCAATTTGTGTTGTTATTTTGGGCCATGAATAATCTTGTATTGGTCTAGACTTACGGGTCAGCAAGCTCCATGTTGTGTAATAAATTATCATCTTAGACTTGGTATTAGCCCGTTCTAAATTTTGTTCGCCATATCTGTCAGATAAAGCACAGAGCCTGCCCTGTCCTGATTTATGCTCAACTATGAAGTTACCAGTGATGTTTGGCTCGTGGGTAGAATGAATGAACACTCTTAAAAATGATTACCAGAATCATTCTTAAATGTTCATTTGAAGCCTTTGTATTGTCCGTGCTTCTGTCTTCCATCGTTCTTCTTTCGTGATAGGACTAGTAGCACTTTTATAGAATCGATATTTAGGTTCTCGTACACCTTTTTCCACTGTTGTTAACATTTGATGCTCGCGTACGTAGCCCAACCGGGTTTTTGGTCACACGCATCAGTCACCAGCCAATGAAGACTGTTTTCTTTATGCTCTTTGCAGTCACACTGGTACTTGAGATAAGGTAGTTATTTACCTTTGCTTGGTGCTATTAAATTCCCAAATTGGTTTAAAAGTCTGTTTTGGTTATGCGTCTTTGCGCTCTTGTGAGGGCGCTTAAAATAGCATTACACTGGACTGGAGTTTTTTGAACCAATTCAGACGCCTTGAGTTACCAAATATGAAAAGCCCAACATCTGTTTACTGGCCCTTTGGATTTACAGGGGTAATGACTGCTTTATATTTGCGTTATCATTTTCGGTCTGCATTTGAATTTTAAATTATTGTCATTTTAAGAGTTTTATTGATTGGCGAAAAGTAGTGTTCCACTTGGACCATGATTTCAAGACGCCTATGATGGAGTTTCTAGTGCGTGTGTCCAGTCATCAACTCACATCACTTCCTTATTTCAAGCCTGGAGGGTTCATTTTGACTGACGGTTTTTTGTCCCAAATTGGATAGTTTTTTTCAGAAATTTGATTTGAACTCTGGTGACTTTTAGGTAGAGGCGACGTGTAATAGTTGCAGCAAATCCATTAGCTCTTCGATCGTGCACGGCATTTAGCTAACTCTTCTGGAGCAAGTTGGGGCACCATGTGAGTAAGGGGCTCGTTAAGCTCGAATGGGTTTTGTCGTGAAACACGACCATGACACGAATGGTTCGAAACCGTGATGAAAAGGTTTCTAAAGTCATGGTTGGAGAAATCTAAGGATTATATCAATATGAGTCTCCTGAAGCAAGAATTATTTAGATGACTGAAGATCAGGTGAGAAGCCTTTTCGAAGTTTTTTCTTTGTGCCTTTAATGACTTTCACAACTAGTCTGCTGGTATGAAGAATAACAATAGCACATTTGTAATAAAACGTTATAATTTAGTTTTTAGTGTACCGTTCAACTTTGATTTTGATGCCTATGGATTGTTAGTAATAATCTAGCACGAGTTTAATAAAGTGATGGGTTTGTGCAAGGTCGGGCGAATGCGGTCAATGCTATGCATTTTCCAAGTTCAGGGATGAAATGTCATTCAAGCCCTGCTGTTTGACTAGTCTACCCATCGATTAGGTTTCCCACTTTCATGCGCTTATTTTTTGGTGTTTATCTACCTGTCGGCAGTGTGATTAACAGGTTAGGGACAAAACGGGTACCAGTAGGTGGATTGAGGACCGTTCGAACAATTTGTTCCCACACTTATGCTGTCAGAAGTAGTCCATGGGAAAATTGGTTTTCTGCGAATCGCCTTCATACGCCAATAGGAAAGGTGGAGCAGTTTCTCTTCTAACTTTTGGAATCTAGCTGGGACAATGTGGTCAATCCTAGACCAAAATAGTAGTGTGTCTTTAAGTACTACTGCTAATGACAAAACGTTCATTTCACATTACGCATAGGCTAGTAGAAAAGATTCAATAGCATTGTAATTCCGAAAATATGAACCTGTCCTGAGGAAAAGCTAACAGAGCAAAGGCGATGTAAGAATTTGGCTTTTATGCACTAGGCGAGAAGTCGTCTTCTAGCAGTTTCATTAGTCTTGTTTTTTGGTTGTTTTTTTTTTACACCAAGCTATGGATACAACAGGTGGATGGCACTTGAAGTGTCAGAAGATTTGCTTTAATTTACCAACGTTTTGCTTAACTGGTAAAGCTGGGCGTTTTCTTAGTCTGTTGTTAGTATTCGAGCCTGGAATGAAACGAATGATGTGGTAGGCGCACTGTGTGCTAGGGCTTTTTTTAAGATTCACCGTTGTAAGTATTTTGACTGGCAGTGGTGTTTGCGCGAGTCTATTCTATCTTCATTGTCAGTCAGTCCACGTTAGATGCATTGCATTGAACACGTTGAAGTCGATGCCAGCCTACCGTAGCTATGACAGGTGGTTTCAAGTATAGGCAGATGCTTGAGTTGATCGAATTGCAGATTGTGAATTCTTGGTCTTGGAGATTTCACTATCCATCACAAATAGAAATGCGAACTTATATAGTTCGCTGTCACGAAGCGATTTATTTGCCTAAAGATGTTTGCTCGTTTAATTTGTTCAGAAGCAAGATCTATTCAGTCAGCCATAGTGACTGTTCCAATGACACCAAAATCAGGACTTAAAAATCAACAATTGTTTGAAATAACAGTGCCGTGGCTCTAGAGTATGGGTAAAAAAATAAAATGTGTATTAACTTCATTTGGTGCAGGTGTGGGACTACGAAGCGGGTGAGTTTGAAGCGACGCTGAAGGGTCACACGGACGCGGTGCAAGACGTGGGTTTCGACCCCTCGGGCAACCTACTCGTCTCCTGCTCAGCCGACATGCAGGTGAAACTGTGGGACTTTACTACGTATACGTGCATCAAAACCCTCTCTGGGCACGACCATAGTGTATCCAGTGTCTGCTTCTTGCCCTCCGGTGACTTTCTCGTCAGCGCCAGTCGAGATAAGACAATTAAAATCTGGGAGGTCGCTACTGGGTATGCCTTAATATCTCCCATTCCTCCTCAAGTTGTGCACAAAAATGGGCGACATTAACTTTCACTGTTGTTTGATGCCAACAATTTTTTTACCTTTGAATCGCTCTTGTCTATCCTAGACTTATTTCATTCTGCCGCAGTGGGTCTTGTAGGTACTTGCAGTTCCAAAAATAGATTCAATTCTAGTGGTTCAAAAGTTCATGTCTCGATCGTACTGTGGAAGTACGTGTCTGCAACCTTTCCGCAATTTTTGTAGCTGTCTACTTCAGTCCGTTCCTAGTGTCACCTGTATTTCACAATCAGTTTTATAGTCATATCTTGTCATTTGTCTATGTATCGAGGTCTACGATTTGCAACAAGTGTATTGTTGAGTTTAACGTTATTCACGAAATTTATTTCTACTTAAGAGTTATAACTGCACATTTGAGGCTACTATTTCGCTGTGAATGATGTCTTCCCTATTTAAGGGCCTCGTTTACAATCGATGTCAATCTTCCTGTCTGGAATGGCTTCATTTTAATGACACATAATTGGCATATTAATCAAAATATTGGGTTCTGCAGATACAACGTTAAGGAATTTCAATTCTCCACTTATTTCCTTGTTATTGTTGTATTGATTGCAATTCTTTCGTTTTTATCCAAGCTGTTTGAGGACTGCTCTTATGTGTTTTCTTTCTTGCTACGCGCCTATCGTTCATCTGCCATTTGCTCTGGAAACTACTCCATTTTAAGGTTTGCTGCCCTTGAATTTGTACACTTCCATTTTGGGACTTCCTCAAGGGTTCAAATGTCAAGAGCCACCCTGATTAATGCATTGCTACTATTGTTTTAAAATTACATACCTAGCCCATTGAGCATTTGCTTGTACATTGCCACAGGTATTGTGTGAAGACACTGACGGAACACCGTGAGTGGATCCGGTGTGTACGACCGAATCCTGATGGTAGTCTACTGGCAAGCTGTTCCAACGACCAAGAGGTGCGGGTATGGACGATGGGCGGCAGCGCTCGTGATTGCAAAGCTCTCGCTGTGCTGCATGGTCATGAGCATGTGGTCGAGTGTGTAGCCTGGATGGGGCCAAGTAACCCTCAGGCCGCCAAGGACATTGCTGCTGCCGCTGACAAAAGCGAAAACGGAGCCTTTCAGCAGCAACAGGTGAATGGTGATATTGCCTCCATCGGCAGCACTACATCTGATGATGCGCCCATCATTTTGGCCTCTGGTGCTCGTGACAGGCAAATTTGCATCTGGGACGTTAGGGCTGCCACTTGCCTTTTCATACTGGTGAGTTCCGGCCTTTCTCAAAAAATTTCGTATTGACTTAACTCCTATCCGAACTTCGCAAGAATTGCAGAACCTCTAATTTCTTCATTATTTGTTTCCTGGGTGTTTTGGCTCACCCCCAACGCGACTACTTTTTCTCTCATAGCTTGATGTAGCTTTCGTACCTTTGCTTTCATACTGTTTATTTCCTAACTACTTTAGCTCCATTTTCACAAGATTTAGTTGTCCTTTTATTTTATCATATAGTCTTCCACCATAGCCTCTCCCTCATCTTATCCTCGGCTTGACCCTCAATCACTTTTTGAAATTACTCATTAATTATTGGTTGGATAACAGGACTTATTTTTACTTGTTTTGTAAACTCGCGAGTTATCTTGGGCTTCAGAAAGTAGCGATGCATTCAAATGATAGCTAAGTCACTCTCAATGATATACTAGGACAGACATCGACGAAATGCCAAAGAGCCCGGGTGATGCTAGCATGTAAAGCTATGACTCACACCGGTTTACACAGCACGTTGGTCTATGTAAATGACCTTGGCATCGCAGAACGCGCTAAATTTACGGAGCACGCTCACACACACAAGTGTAGACGCGCACTGGGTTAAGATCGATGCGATGATACCCCTCTTTCCTCGCATGAGCCACGCAAATGATGCCTGTTTGCCTGTTTTTTTTTCTTGTACTAAAGACTGGGCACGACAATTGGGTGCGTCAGTTGGTCTTTCATCCACACAGCAAATACTTACTCTCGGCGTCTGATGACAAGACAGTTCGCGTGTGGGACTTAAGAAATCGTCGCTGTCACAAGACTCTCGAGGCGCATTCACACTTTGTCACTACGCTGGGTAGGTCTAATTGGAAACAGGCGAGGCTCATCCTCTTATCATTTCCTTTATTGTTGCAGATATTCATCGAACAGCTCCCTTCCTCATTACGGGCAGTGTTGATCAGACGATTCGAGTATGGGAGTGTCGTTGATGTTTACATGCTTGTGCGGGGTGTTGAGTCATTTCAGTTCCTCCCTCTTTCGTCTCCTCATTCGAAGCTTTCCCGCACTTGCAGGCGATCCTCACACATTTCCGCAGCAACAAGAACATAACAGAGCAAAAATAAACCCCCTTCTCTCACACCTTTTAAGGAGTTGTGTGTACTACTGCTGCTACTGCGTTTGTACATCACTCAACTGCATTGTTACTTCTTGATTTCTGGTCTTATATACTCACGTGCGTGTTGGTCGATCCACCATCAAGTGTGCAGCCATCGCACTTTGGGCTGGCTTTCGTTTCATTCGAAAGGATTGACCTTTTATTTAATTCCACTTCTCTCCGTCCCCCCCTCTCCTATCATGCCCTTTGTGAAGATTTTGTGTACATCCTTGAGGCCAAGATTATCCTTGTACATTCTACGGTCCTCTGCCTCCCGTTTTGGTTGGACTTTGCGCTGTACACCCATAATGTTCTCCATCGCCTCCTTTTCTCCTATCCCTTGCTATATCCACTCAAACGTGTATGTGTGGAGGAAGTGATCTCACTTTCACCTCATGCGTGTCCTATTTTCATGAGTTAACAAAATCTCCTGTGGGTTTGTGTCTTCAGCTGTCTATTCATGCGTCCTTGAACTAGTGCAAAGACTTTCACTCCTAGGATCTTTGTTAGTGTTTTGGGGTAGCATGTGGGCGTTTGATCCTCAGTGCGATGGATAACTGAATGTGAGCGATGATGTGATGTTTGACTGTTGTGCCATTATGTTTTGCATGTAACAAGCAAGTTTTGGGGTACTCAAATGCCAGTTGAAGAGGGCAGAGGGTTGTTGTGGGTATATTCTCGAGGCGCCTCTTCCTCAGCCTTCTACGCCCAGATCTGAGAAAAAACAGAAGTTGTTATGATGGCAGGGACTAAAAGGAGGTCTAGGATTTTGTTCGGCTGTAAAGCTTTTTTGGTAAACTGATTCTGTGGGCACACTTCGGGTGTGGGTCGCAGTCCGCACTTGTCGCAAAACAACGCTAAGTATAGCGGTCACTAGTGCCAGTTTCCAATGTTCGCGTGGCTTGAAACTACAGCAGTGATGATACGATAGACGTGGAATTCTGCGATCGTGCTACTGATCGATGCTTTGAGAATTCTGTTGGTAAGGACTGTGGTTTTGGTATACTCACGCGCAATGTGCTGTCCCAGCTTCCAGTGCAGATGGCGTTACCATCAGGACTGGTATGAAGCGATGAAACACGGTTTTCGTGACCGTAGAGGATGGACACTCTTTTTCCTTTTAAAGTATCCCAAATGTTGAGGGAATGATCGTTGTAGCCTCCAAATAGCAGTCGACCTAGACTCAAAAGAATGGCAAATGCACATCTCATTGACATTGACTCAAAGTAGATCTACTACTGTTAATATTACTTAATAACTTCGTCACAAGTTCTGCTCTCTTAAAAAAAGATTAGGTGGAGAGTCGGACTTATGTAATTAAAGGCTTTGGTAGGTAAAACGTACCGCTCAAGGAGAAGTCAACAGCATTGCATCCGAAAATGACACTGTCCTTCTTGTAGACACAGAGTTCACGATCAGTTCGAAGATCAAATAACCGGATGGTTGCATCATCAGAAGCAGTTGCGAATGCATCGCCACTGGGAAAAAATCTAACAGAGTTAATATCCGATTCATGGCCTTGAAACACTTGAACACACTGACCGCTGCGCATGTCCCAAACGTTGGCGCAACGATCACAACTCTAGAAACATTTGCGAAATCCATGATAAGGGAGGAGGTGGATACATTTACTAAAATTGTTCGTTACGATGTGCACCTACTCCTGAAACAAAGACTCGTCCACACTCTGAGGGTGACCCATCTATGCACATAACATCACCAGAGTGACCATGGAAACTCTGAATCATTTGTGCCGATTCGACATCCCACAAAATGCAGGAACTATCGCCACTTCCAGTTAACAATTGATGATCGGATAAATTAAACAAACAGCAAGAAAGGTAAGAGCTGTGCGTAGCAACGAGTCTCTTTCGAAGGGTGAGGTCTTCTTCCGACAATAATGGATATATTGTGCATTTGTTATCCAGGCCTCTAAACGGCAATATCATACAGTAAAGATCAACATACCCACAGGCTACAAAACTATTTGAAGGACTGAAAGTGCATGCCATGACCCAGGTTGTAGGCATTGAAATGCAAAATTCCTAAAATTACCTTAGCGAAGTAAATTACCTTTGACGATGTTAAAGCATCCCAGACAAAAAGTTTACCATCCTTAAAGATCATAAACAAGATGCAATTTACCTGAGATGAACTAACAACGTGGCGTTTGTCCAAAGACCAAGCAAGACTTAGTACTTTTCCTTGGTGGCCTTTCAAAACACGCCGAACTTTAATATTAACGGTCGGAATAGAATCAAAGTGTTCACTCATAAATGTAACTAAAACTATTTTAACAGTAAGTCGCTACTTTCTCCATCATTTAGTCTGTTTGTCTCCTCTTCAAGTCTTCTTTTAAGGTTGTCAGCCTCCTTTAAAAGCTGTGGCTCAGGTGGATCCTCCATCCAAAAATATTTGAGGAATGCGCCGCAATTGGGTTAATTACATGGAATAGTAAGTGACAAATTTAAAATATACACAAAATCTAAAAATGAGAAATATGTCGAAAATGGATGACGTTAATTATATTTTAGAAAAATTCTAATATTAACCAAGAAATTACTGGAATCACATCTGTTATAAAACCGTCGACGGTTTTACCGGTGCAAGCGCATTTCGAAGTAACATCTAGAGTTATAACGACTTAGTCACTATAGTAAGTCTTAAGTTGCGAAGTTAAGAGCTGCACATGATTGAAATTGTAGTCACTGCTTAAAAAGGATGCTAAACACTTTTACCGAAACCTGCTAAAATAGCTTTCATTCCCCTAAACTATTTGAAATAACTATAATATTTTGTTTGTGTGACCACATGACGTTAGGCAGTCACTTGAGAGTTTGTCTAGCCCTTGTACACAGGGTCTGGCCTTCGGGCCACGCTCAGGCCCCATTAGCCCTGTCGTCCTCGGAATACATGTATTCAACCTAATTTATGCCTTCTTCCATCCTATGGGAAGCCTCGGGATGCTACAATAACTTTAAAATCTGTAGTGTCCCAAGACTTCTCATCGGGTGATTGAAGGCAGTAAGTGAGGCCGGATACATGCATTCCAAAGAGAACAAGGCGACTAGGTCTGAGCATGGCCCGAAGGCCAGCTCACACGTACAAGGGCCAGACAAAGCTTAGGGACTGCCAAACGTAAGGTGGTCACGTAAACAAAGTAATACACTGCTCCTCTCTTCTTTTGAGCGGCGTCCTCGGCGCTCTCCCTTGGTACACATCCCGCGTCAGCACCCTTGAGCCAACCGCGCCAGTCGATAGGTAGCATGAGACAGAGGAACCGTACCTTGTCTCCTTGGCAGCTTCAATTGGATCTGGAGTTACGTTCAACCGAATAACCAGATTCGGAGCTGCATACATCTGTTGACCATCAATTGTTTCCAGGAGAACTGTAGTGTCATTTTGTATGGGAAATTCCAACACGAATCTTTTTTAAATGGTTCACGACGGCGTTGCCTCAGTTGTTAATAGCTTGTCAGTGGAACACGGGATTAAGGTGAAGCCAGAATGTAAATCTTTAAAACCGCATCATGGCATGGGCCTGATGCAAATGCTCCTAAGAATTAGGGGTTAAAATAGTGTACACTTACTATCTGCCACAAAATATTTATCAGGCCCCCACTGTCAATAACGCCTTGCATAGCTTTGTCAATTCTTGTAGTCTGTAACTACACATCTGGTTTTTAGTGGTTTTCTTTTATTGAAACGGAATTTTCTGGGTTCTAATATACCTACAATTACTCCCCTTCAACATTGTACCACTTACTGGTCTACGATGTCATCTTTTATTCGTAGGCCTAAGCCACAGCTCAAATATCTTTCGTGTGGCTAACTAAAGTTAATCCCTTTGGCACGAACATAGGCTGTCCATCAAGCACTTTCCATCGTGATAGCAGTTTGATGTCGCCGAACACCTGGGCTTCTAGTATCAATGCAATTTCAGTGAAAGGATGGGGAAGAATTACCCATGCATCCCAAATACACATCCACCATGCCTACTAGGATAAAAGAATAGTGAGTATTTAAACAATACGGATTTTTTGAACGAAAGGCTCCCACATTCTTGAATGCAAGACTTCTTTAAATATCATGCAGTGCTGCAGCTGTCGAGCCATCCCTAGGCCCTCGAGTTTACCACGCAGACAATCTGGGCCTGTGTCATAAAAACTATAGATGTCACATTATTGCGTTCCTCCCTCTCTTTTCTAGCAACATTCGGAATGTGCAGCTTGATCACCCCTGTAAATACCATTATTTAGCTACAGGGTGTCTCATCTTCCAAACGACAACATGAGAACGCTTCTCCTTGTTTGCAATGCGTCTGGCCCTTGTTCGCGTAGGCTAGCCTGGTTACTTTGTTCCCCTTGTAGCACGTGTATTAAACTCCACTTACTGCCTTCTTCTACCCGGTGAGAAGTCTAGGGACGCTGCAATATTGAGGTTGATGAGCTCAGCAATTCTCAGTATTGTTGCTCTAAACGGGTCGTTTGTTAGGAGGCTATCACCGTGAACCACAAAGTAGGCATTTGTTCCTGCTTAGCAATGTTTTACCATCATCCTGTCTCGATGGCTTACTTTCAACGCTTGATGCACGAAACACTGTGCACTACGCGCATAATACAAGTAGTTCCTTTGCTCCAATCATAGTCTCACGTAGATTCGTTTTCGGTGTCTTCATAGAACTCAAAATGGAGACTGTTGTGAGTCCATTCTTAACCAACCTTCCGAGTAAATACCCTTCACACAAAGTTGATGTTGGACATCCATTTGTCTCCTTTAACTCTGCCAAAACTAAGGAACACATAAATTTGGGAAGCCTCTTCACCACGCAACCTTCTGAGGCACAATGTAAATGTAAAATGCTCGCGATGTTTAACATGTAATATTTTGTTTGTGTGACCACCTGTATGGCTGGCAGTTACTTTGGTATTCATCTTGCTTTTGTACACGAGCCGAGCCAGAACCCAATGCCTTCTTCGCCTCCTGGAATACGTGTGTTCAGCCCAAGTGGATGCCTTCTTCTGCCTTCTGCGCTGCATGAAAAATTACAAAATCCACAAAAAAACTTCGTACTCCGTGAAAATTCGTATTAATAGAAATCCACTGTACCTCATCATATCCACATCATAATAATGCTGGAAAAGGTAAAATATGCTGCATAAAAGTATTTGATCCTTCTGCTAGATTCTATCTGATATTGTATTTTTTGTCACAGTGATTATTTGTACCTAACGATTCGTTAAAGACAAATTTTGTTACACTTTTGCCAGAAAAGCTTTTATTAATCGGCACATACAATAGGTAATCAGACTATGTGATCTTGCATTCCCAAAATCGTCTCCTTTTATAAAATTGTGAAAGGACATCTCAAGGCCAACGATTCTCATCTGCAAAATGCAGATGGAGTGACACTTGTGATCCAAAATTTGGTCGAAGAGTTGGTGGGACGCGCCACCTACTCCCCCCTCCTGCCTCTTGGAACACACAAATTCACTGCCTCACCCTAACTTGCTTTTAAGGTTTGGAAGTCTCTATTGCCTCACTTGTGAATCCCAAAATACGTTGATCTCGTTCGCTTAGGGAATAAGCACTCGCAACAGCCCTTTAACCAACCTCTCCTGCCCCGCCTTCACGACCTCAAACACCAATTAGTGCACCTCCATTAAATAGAAAGTTAATACTTGCTCACTGAACAAAATGTGACGAACTATGTCGGACTAGAGTAGTCGGCAATTACAGTGAGAAAATGTACTGCAGTGAAATTCTCAAAATCCATCTGCTCAAAGCAGAATGGAACAGATATATTTTGAAGGCATGCATTAGGCGTGCATTTGGCGTCAAACTGAAATGAAATGCTTTTTTGACATGACGCGAGCACCATTTTCCGGACCTGCATATCACAATTGCGCTCTACTAGTTTTCACGACCAGGCAAATGAGTAGTAGCACGTCGGAGCATTGCTGCAACGAGAGTGAAAACCAACCAAGTCTTTAATGAAAATATGCACCGAGTGGTATACATATAGATGGAGAGAAGGAGGATTTCTCAGCGCACCAGCTGTGTACAGTGGGAAGTCAGGTTGGCAAGTTGAGTAGGCAAGTTAAATAGAGAACAAAGAAAGGGAGGGTGAGTGCTCTATTCAGTGGTATGAGGGATCTTTTTGAATGGACTTCTAAAAACTGACCTTCGCCTGGTCTGTGGATCTCCGGGACCATGGTCTTGACTCTGTTCATTGCTAGAATTTCTTGAAAGCGTTGATTTCCGGTTCTGGTGTAGAAAAGTCGGAAAATTGTAGCAACAGAAGAGAAACAACACCAAACTACTCTTAACAATTTAATCGCACGCTGCCGTTAAAATCGCAAATGGTGCAATAAACTGGCGGCTGCTTTCAGAACTAACGGTCCGTCAACATCGCGTCGTTTGGCGGCATCAACAGATTCGATAAACGCGAGCTATTCCTGCTACAATTTCCAGAGTACATCAGTGTTCAGTTGCTATGGTGGTGAAGTGAAGGTAACGGGTGAACTCGCATTTTCGACTACAGCCGCCGCATCACTCAACTATGTTGCTCAACGAGTTGATAAGTGGGCAGTCACATGTTTACTGGCACTGCCAACTCAGTGAGAGTGGACAGGTGAACAATTGAATACCGCCACAAAAATGTCAAGAAATGTCAAGGAAGATGGCAGTGAAAGGCGATAATGATAAAACAATCAGATCCAAGAAGGTAAGTTCAAGTGAAGGCAAATTGTCCGCTTTCAAGTCCTATAGCACAAAGAAATGGCAAGACTACGGCACTTTCAATGCTCTGCTACCTTCTCGTGTTACAAGGGAAACAAGTGCTTTACGAAATGCGTAATCAGCTAAGCAGTATCGAGAATATAACGAAGGGCGTAGAAGGGTGCAGTCATAAGTGAGCGATCAACTGTGTGGCATAAGTAACATCGAAGAGACTTTAACTTTCAATGAAAACATGGGCGTCAACTGCGAACAAGAGTCCAACAGCCCTCAATTAAATCCCTCGAATCGCTTTAAGGCGCATTGTTGCCATTAAACTTCGAAAGGCATATCTATGCGAGGGCAGTAACTGCTGTGACAGAATTCATGACCAATGCGTAAAGGTGGTGAGAACAGCATTTTAAACCATAAGTACAATGAAGACAGCAAGGCGGACAAGGATTTGACTCCAACTTAATCATCAAATGGATCAAGAGAAGTGAAGCTGTGTGAAATGAAAGACAACCAAACTGCATATTGCTCACCTTGATGCGCTTTTTGGAGTTTATGTCCATAATAATGACACCACCCTGCCCATCGGAATCGGGGGAGTTCATTGGTGGTCCTTCACCACCTGCAGCACCACTACCACCACCACCGCTACTGCCAATCAAATTGCAGTTTGAACCAGGATCCATAATCGTCGGCAGTCCGAGGGAAGGAGTGACACTGGCGTTGGCGGCGACGGCGGCGGCGGCGGCGGAGGTGGTAGAGAGGGAACCGACAGAGTGCAATTTCACTGACACATCAGGACCATCTGGCCAGTCGGAGGGATTCGGAGGAGGCACTGTGGAGGTGATCATGGAGTCTTCCTCCTCCTCCTCCGCATCTTCAAGATTGTCAGCCTGAACACGACTACGAGAAAGCTGTTTCAACGTCCTCGGCTAAGGGAAGACAATAATATTAAGCCGAGTCGGTTCAACACACACTTTTATTTAAGAAATTTTTTACAGTTCAGGAATATAGGACTCAGTACTGTTTGTGTTATTCTCGCAAGTTTGACCTCGAAAATAAACTTTCGTTACACTCCAGTCTGGTGGTTAATCCAAAACGCCCAACTCTGCCAGCTTACAATTTTCATGTGGTGAAGAAAAGGACATTTGGTGGAGTTTCAAGAGCTGATGGTTGATCACAGTTTGTGAAAGACAAAAACAGTAACATTTGAATGCTCATTTTCTTCGCTAGTCTTCTGAAAGGCAGATGAAAAAATTGATCCTGACACCAATTCTCAAGCAGCATCTAACAACGTGGCGAGGATATGAAACTATTCAGTAGGAATATTGCCAACACAGCAGTAGAAATCCTCATATCAAAAGAAAGTTGGCGCTCATTTTAGTATTTTCCCCCAAATATGCGTGTTGAATCACATATTTGATGTTTAAATTGTTCTTTGTTGGAGGGAGGCGCGAGTTCAATTCGAATGCCGTGCCCGAGGAGTCTACGAGGGCGACGTCTCTCCCCAATAAGTGAACCTCACCTCGTATGCACGTCTTACTCATTGTCAACTTGGGAATGTCGAATAAACCTCTTCCAAGTAAAGCCACTCCTGAAAGTCTTACGAAGGAGAAGTTCAAACCGGCTTCAGGTGTGGACCTTAGTTCAACAAGTCTTCAGAGGCAGTGGTAATGGTCAGTTAATTTCAGAAGCTAGCAAACCTTAATGTAATGCTTTGTTTGTGTGACCACCTCTATGACCAGCGGTCATCTTGACATTCAGCGTGCTCTTGTACGCGTGGACTAGCCTCCGAGTCAAGCCAAGACCCTATCTCTCCCCCTTCTCCTCGGGTACATGTATGCAACCCAAACATAGTGCTTTCCACCTAGCGGGAGGTGTCAGAGTGCTACAGATAAATTTGCGGTACGTGCTTCTGAAAAAAAAAGTTGGTTTGGATATTCAGCAATAAGAGTATATCGTCTCATTCACCTCGCCCTTTCTGCCAGAGGACCTACGTCGTCTAGAGACAGGACCAAGATCAGCATCATCGGAGCGTAGAGTCGGTCGACTTCCACTGGCGCCCCTAGAGCGGGACGATTTCGATCCATGCGTAGGGCCACTACCAGGCACTCCATAAACCATTTTGGATCTTGAGTCGTAGACGTCGCCTCCATCACTGGCACCGCTGTTGACAGGACTGGCGTTGTCCTCAGCGCTGACACGTGGCAGTTGGCGTAGAAAGTTGGAAGGCACCAGACCACGTCGACCTGACGATTCCAACTGTCCCACATAGAACCCGTCCTCATCCATCTCACTGAGGATGAGAATTCGGTCTCCAGCGCGGAACTTCAGTTCAGTCTATTTAGGCAAAGCTGAGATAAAGTAATCACAGGTTTGCTGGAAAATCAGCTGCACTTCCAAAAGTGATGCTGCGTTTGCAAAACTTAAAGAATGAGATGTGAAAGCATTGGCTCTCTCAAAGATTACAAATCCCCATATTGGTTTCAAATAGCTAGTAAATGGTTTAACCATCACTTTATTATAGAAGTTAGGTTTGACTAACGTCTGTCAGCACCTTATCTGTAGGCTTCTGTATCGACAAGCGACTTCAATTTTAAGAATTTCCTGCTTTGGGAGGCTCAAACGAAATTCCTATGTCGTTAGCTTCTCTTTCTTTGCAGTTCACCTCGTTTTCCTAAAGTTTTTATTGGTTGACTTTCCTCAGCCTTAGTTCATCCGAACAGTAAGGCGGCAAGAAAGATCTACGTGGCAAAGTAAGTAATGAACAAAATGTAAGCGATAGGAGGAACTAATAGTTCCTCCTTAAAGCTCCTCAAAACGGAAATAGGAGTTGATACTTGTGTTTAACTCATAGCAAAGCACCAATTTCTGTTCTTGCAATACCAGTGCCGAGTTATGCCCTCAAAGGTCATACCGCAAGTTGGATGTATCCATTTCAGTCGAGTTCGAGTGATTAGTGTCAAAGTGTGCAGCTAATGGTCTCACAATGTGCACCCAATGATAATCTCAAACTTCTAGCGGTTTAGTTTCACTCCAACTGCTTCGGAAGTAATTTACTCGAAAAGGTAAACACGTGCACCTTGGAGCCTCTTTGAGGTTTTGAAAATCGTATGCAACTGCCACGACTTGAAGCACAACTCGTGGTGGTTTCAAATTACTGGGTAATTGAAGATAGAGCTGAACAAGCCATTAAAAAAGGTGCCACTGGGAGCAGTCCCAAACGGGCCACTTGCCATCCCCTACGATGCTTCCAAGGTTGGAATACGAAGCTTTGGAATGTGCAGCCGCCCTCATCACGTCGTTTCTACCATCACTGACAGAAGGAAACTAATGTCGACATACCACTTTAGCTAGTAGACAATAAAGGTAGTTCAAGAAACTGTTACATGGGTTCTCCTTAGTACGAAGGTTGTCGGATTTTACACACACGGCAGAACGTTTTCGATAGTACCTTGATCCAATTACGTCCTGAAGACAAGAATGCTAATTGATGGGAACGTTAGAGATAGAAAACTCAATGGCTATCAAAATTTGATTTTTGTGCGTTAGAGATGGAATTTGGTAAAAAGCAATTTCATGAGAAAAAAATTCGCGGAAATAAGGGGTCAGATGAATGCAGAGAGCTTTGCCTGTATCGAATGACAAACCTCCACATCAACATTTGGGCTGTAGATGTGTGGATCATAGTCGTAGAGAGCCTCCATGACACAATGCTGCGGTTTCTGACTCTCGCCGCGTTTTCGACTGGTTGCCTCCACTCCCCCTACAGTGACCTGCTTTTCCTCGGCACAGGCGCTCCTCTGTAGTCGCGTCCGTCGGCCCTCCCCCCGTACTTTTCGGTCACGACCTGCCCTTTCACCATGTTGAGGATAGTGGTAGTACCCGAAACTCTGTTCCATCTAAACAAAGCAATGCAACCACAGAATAGGTTTCATAACACATTCGCTGCAAGGTATTAAATCAACACAAATTCACGTTAAGCTAATCCTTTAGCACCAGTCCAATTATAAGTTCTGTACCTATAGACAGTAGTGAAAGATGACCTCAACTGGAAGGGTCAAAATCGACTTTGTGGTGCTGAATCGTGAGAGAAGCAGTGCACCAAAACTTACCGATATGTTGAGTGAGAAGCACGACGTCATTATTACTATTGGGTTCTACAAAATGAACTTCAAAGTAATGAGAAGAGTAATTAGTGTAGGACTCGTGTGTGCACAAAAGCAGATCCTCTCCCTACGGTGCGCTAATGGGGGCTGACAGGTGACCGCCACCACAATCGATGGGACGCGTTACCAGCACCGGCAATTAAAGAGCATCCAGAGTCTACCAATAAGTGCCACCACATTCAAGCTCATAAAGTCCACAACTTCTTTAGGAATAAGTTCATGAAAGGAGGTGAACACCCAATGCAAGTGGTCATTGCCAGGCAGAAGTCAATTGCAACACATGTAGGGAAGCAGCAAAAATATTTGGGAGTCGAGGCCCTTATTAAAAGAAGATTTCTCATGAGGAGGGTAAGCGAGTCATTATTCACTGTAAGGCATTTATAAACAAAACGTCATTTGAAAAAAAAATTAGTCTGGGTTTTTGTGAAAAAGCTCAGCATATCCGTTTCATAATTTCGAATGAGATGAGAAATTGTTGTTAAACTAATGCTTATACAACATTGAAAACAAAGTATGACGAAGTTTCTAGAGAATAGCTCGAGTATTGTAGAAGTCGCATCCTCAGAAACTTATTAACTTAAAAAAAGGAAAGAGAACAAATTCCGGACTCTCGCTTGCATATGAGCTGCATAAAATATGCCTTGTAGATCGGGGGTGGAAGCTCAATTCGAACGCAGTGCTTGGGGCAGAACATCGACAGGGGTAAACTTCCCTTCCCTGCATCTCTAGATGCTTAATACTGCACTCAGAGGAAGACAGACTCCTCAGAAGCCTGTCAAATGGGAGTCCGACGATAGCGACGCTGAGGTTACAACGCTAGCAGCTGATCTCAACGTACCTTGGACTGCAAAGCAAGAAAGAGACTTGAAAATCCACCACTCGTGCGTCAGTAACTTCAACTAGTTTAATTTAGGGGAGCTTAGTAAAGCATGCTCAGTCATTCCCAAAGAATTAACGCCTGAATCCATCAAACAAAGCTTGAACGTGCCAAACTATGCCAAGGACTACAAGCGGAACCGCCAAAGGCAACTTTAGGCAAGCACACGGACACTTAGCGCCTGGTTGCAAAGAACCTGAGTTTTGCTTCTCCTTTCAGGGCAAATTGTTTTGCAGAGAAAGCAAGAACGAAGCACTTAGGAAGTAATTCAAGTTGGGCAAAACTGAAATGGGGCATTTGTAATGCTCATCAAAAATGACCTCAAACGCGTGACCGTATCGCTAGCCGATTGCATGGGCAACTCGAAAATTAAGAGAGCTTTTCAGGAGGAGGCTTTACGGAGTACAAACTCACATGACCAGTGGACTGTTCGGATGGTCCAGAGCGCTGCGCAACTATACGATGTGACTTGGTCATTTGGCCAGGGGGCATGCCGGTGGAGGTGGTAATGCAGCTTCGACCGTGGTATCCGACGCGCCGCCGCAGGAACTCAGTTACCTCGTCGGCACTCGCCTCGCACACCATATTTGACGGCACAAACCCCTTGCGTCCATTACACTCACCAAAGTAGAAGCCGTCCTCGTCACAGTCTCCGTACACCTTCGTAGGGTTTTTGCATCGTAAAAATAATTTTCTTTAACTGTAGACCTCTTTATATCGTTTATATTCATCACTTGGTGCCACGAAAGTGTAAATAGCTTCCCTTTCGGAGTAGGGTAAAAAGGGAAAGTAAACGAGATCGTAATTGAACTTTATCTCATTTTAGTAATCCACCAACTTTACAGAGATCAAATTTCTCGTGAATTTTAGATGCTATTTAGACTGTGGCGGACAAAGAAGTCACAATCAGTTTGCGGTGAGGAAACCCTCTACCTTTCCCAAAAGACACAAAATCTCCTACTCCAAAGTGATTAGGCGTAATGGATAAATAGCACGCCATATTGCAACCACTCAATGGAATGCGCCTAAAGCTTTTTAACATCCACTTGCCTTGTCTCCAGAATCGTATCAAACTATTCAAGTACTTTTCCACCATTATTGCCACAAAATAGTACTGAAATGCACTTCGCACCTTAGGTGACATTAATTTCTGGTAGATTCCAACTACAAGTGACAACTTTTAGACCGATGCCAAAACTACTGTCTCCTTAGTTTCGTCCAAACCGCATGCTTCGAATATGAACGTGACGGTGGTGGCACTCATTGCCGTCTGGAGTGCAGGGACCTTCTAGCAAACATTTGTGTTGTTTCTTTTTTACGTGTTTGCGTTTACTGGACAATTTATGAATGCAAATCATTATTAGTTTGGAGTTAATCCGAATTTGCCCGCAGCTTTAACTTCACTAATTGTCATGCCCAAGGGATCATTCCTACGTGTATGTTAAACTTATACGAATTCATTTTGGACATTTCAAGCTGAGAGAAATAAGGAGGGAATTCTACACTGGTTGAATGAACAGTGCATTCCATTTTGCAGGTAAACAATTTATTGTCGGAGTTGAGGTAAACGGTGTGCTTCTGACCGGTCAAGACGGCAAAAGAAAACGCGAAAATACAAAGAGCAATTCATTCGGATGGTCACTTAAGCCAAAAAAAATATTAATGATGCAGAGCAGGAGAGATTTTTATCCCTACCTTGATAATATCCCCTTCTCTGAAGGGCAGCTCATCATCGACAGCCCCAGGATTCGGTGACATTGTGGCCGGATCGTAGTCATAGAGAGAGACGAAAAATACGCATCCATCGGCTGTGCTTGTTGGTCTCAGTGGAGGCGAACTCATCGGTCTTCGATCTGGCGTCTGGTTTCGTACCTCCGACTGGAAGCGCCTTCTTAGCCCTGTTGTTGTAAGTAAGCATGGATTAGCCAACCGAATCACCTTCCACATACCGTTTTGCTCTTCACATTTCCTACATGAAGCCTTTTGATGCTGTTACAATCCATCCCTTCCTCAATATTCCGCTTGTAGATGCCATAAGGGAGAGCTACCACTAACTAGCATTTACTTTCTAATGTCGCGTATTTGCCCGTTCATTCATGCATTTCAAACAAATCCACACCTTAATGCAACAGGTATGACACCCAGGACGCTAGTACTTGGCTCCTCCAACTGGACAATGTCGCTGAACGCAGAAAGGGTTAGTGTCAGATTCTTTATACAAACTACAGTTTCAAATACCACACAAGCGGTAAGTGGTTTTATGAGGTACCCACTGTGGACCTAATTTTCTACGTGAAGTACTCATGTTGGGGAGGCCCCATACAGAGGTATTCAGTGCTTAGATCCGAAATGTCCAATGACTTCAGCTTTTATTCTACACCACTTCAAGACAAAAAGGATAGTTGAAACTGTCCTTTCATTTTAATGTTTACCTTAAGAATAGTGAAGGTAAAAAGCGAAATCACAACAGGCTGGGTTCGCTGAGACCGTGTGATTGTTTCAGCCCCTATGATGATTGCTTTTGAATTATCGCGAGAGCTACCAACTTGCAACGGGGAAACGCATAGAAGTTTTGCTTACATCAGCCGTTGGTTTAAAATACCCGTTGTGACTAAACAAGTCTCCATGTGCAGCGAACAGTAATGAGGAGCTCAGTAGTTGCTTCCCAGGAGCTACGGAGGATCGGCTCAAAGATTTGTGTACATGATGCCCAGACCTCAATTATCTGTGGCCTAAAGTTACTTCAACCTCGAATGCCGCAGTAGCTCGTAACTGACACTTTTGTGGAAAGCCCTCCACTAGGATGTTTCCAGTCCCAATCGGGGTCGCTTTCCATGTAAAACGTTGCTGTTTGGTGTAACAAGTGTTGAGAAAAATTGCAGTTACCATTACAAACCTAAAAACAATATCAGTACCATTATTTGCCAAACATTGTTTGTTTAAGTTGTTGGTGTACAGTTTGCCTTTAATTTGATTGAATAAATCGAGAATGTAAAGATAAAGAATCTAGGCCTCCCTCCCGAAATCCAAACAAGTCTCACGACGACAAGCCGCAAACCCTCTTTTTATGCCAAGTTTACCACCACCAAGCAAGTTAACGCCTCTCGTTCATTTGAGCTGTACAAGCCCCAAAAAGTGCTTTGCGCACTCTTCAACTAACATCTTTATTTGCGGCCGTTTGAGTGCATTGTAGATGACGATAAGAGAGGGTGGACGAAAAACAGGACCGATGTGGTGATGTAGGTGTTTGGACGCTCCTAGATTAGCGTTTTTTATACACATTCTACATGAGTGGCATTGTTTATAAAAATATTCCCCTGAATATTGAATGTATGAATGTCCAAGGATAAACCTATTCACAACCCATAGTAGCATTTTAAACTTGTAACAAAAATTTTAAGCACCAAAGTTAATGCGATCATAGTAAGGCAGCAGTATCAACAATTTAACCTCCCTAAAGCAAATGGCTTTTGATGATGTCTGTTGCTGCCTTGTTGGCCGAACAATGAAGGAGATGGGCAATCTTACTCTTGACTTGTGTATAAACACTGCTAGTAACTAAATCCACTATCATACACAAAAGTTGTACATTACAAGGCTGAAATCCGTGAAGAGCACCCCATTCCTCATCAAACTGCAGGACTGGTGCGGTCAAGTTTCTGAGGGTGCTTAAAAAGCTCATTTGCATCAAATAATTTGAGGGGATTACATTTTAACCGTTTTCGTACCTCAGTTTAAGTAATCAAAGGAAGAGGGAGAATTTACGGGAACTGTGGGGGTGGATTCGGCCAGTTGAGATGTATATTTTACGTGCACTCTATCCGCGCTGATTCGGTAATAGAGAAAGGAAAACTTGAAAGATCTAATGCGTTCCGAAAAGTCATCTGTATCGTTTCTCAAAGCTAAACAATCCCATGCATGAGATCTCACCTCGCTTGTAAGTTTTACGTTCTACACCTCGCATTCGATAATCCTCCTCTAGACCAGAGCTGACAGTTCTTCGTCCAGGGCTTTTTACAGACTTTGAATTTCTGTTAATAAAGTCAGAGGGTCGTAGTCGACGATTACGAGAGGAGGAGGAAGGATAGAGAGGTCCTTCTGACCAGTCGTAGGGACCATCATCAGGGTCGTCCAATCGATAGGTCGTCACTGCAGTAGCATCACCTTCTAAGCAGCCCTCCTCTTCTTTCTCCTCCCTCCAAGACTTTCCACGACGCTGTTTGCCTCTCATGGTTCCGCTAAGGTGGTGGCGAGAGTGTGGAGAGTCAGTAAATAGTTGATGTTCACTGGAGTGCATGCACCTGCGCATATGGTCGTCTGAGTCCGCATGGCCTCGACCCAGATCTATCAGGTATAGAAT